ATTGTCACATTAAGCAGAGAGTACAGAGATTGATGGTTCTGGGTAATAGAGGCAGTTTTACAGAATAATAGAAAAGCGCCCTTGCTTTCATGTAAACCACACCAAAAGGTAAGGGGTTTTTTTTTTTGAGGGCCCCCCGCCTTGGCCCCAAGCCAATTTTCAGAGGTCATGCTGGAGTGTCGCTTATGCTTTGATGTGGTTTCTAACGTGTGCCTCTTCATTGGGCTCCCTATAGATGCCTTTATGTGAAACAGAGCATTAAAATCCAAATGTGCCTCTGATGCAGGTCATTTTTCTTCCTTTATGTGCAATGTCAAACATATTGTACAGCTTTCTCCCTGCCAGAACCCAGGAAGGGTACGTGTTCACGCGTGTGCATGTGTGTATAAGGTGCAGGCAGTAGCGGAGTTCCTTGGCAGTTAAGCTCACACTTCTCCATAGCAGCTTCCTCTGGGCCTCTCCCTGGTTTTTTCTCACGCAAGGTGAAACTGAAACCTTGGTGACTTCACCCAAGTTTGCAGAAGTTAAAGAAAATTTGATATTTCTCACTTACAGGTCACTTCAGTCCAATTTGTGTCTTGCCAAGATAAAAAACCCCACAGACGCACAAAGCAAATAATTTTTTTTTCTGGCATGTACTTTATAGAGCTCAAATGTAACATCGAGATTACAGACCTAAGAGAATCTGTTTCTTTTAGGATCTGAGCATTGTGAACTAATTCTCAACTTCATTTTAGCATTTCTGTAAGAATGCCTTTAACATAGCATCAGATCAGTGTCTTAGCAAGACCGAGCGCTCTAGCAGAACAGGAATGGACTTCATAGTGATCAGCTATGGCTGTGTTGCTTTCATTAGGTGTAATGCAGGGGTTCTCAAACTGGGGGTCAGGACCCTTCAGGGGGTCATGAGGTTGTTACATGGGGGGTCGCGAGCGGTCAGCCTGCACCCCAAACCCTGCCATGCCTCCAGCAATTATAATGGTGTTAAATATACAAAAAAGTGTTTTTTAATTTATAAGGGGGGTTGCATTCAGAGGCTGGCTATGTGACAGGGGTCACCAGTACATTACACCAGTGGTTGTCAAACTTTTGTACGTGGTGGTTTTTGTTTTCTTGGTGTAAGTGAAGGAAGTACGAGTTAGTCCTTTAGGAAGTGTAGCACTGGATAGCTTTTTATTTTTATTATTGGAGACTTGTGTGTAGTTCATAAAAGCATACAGCTCCTTCTTACATGATGAGTCGCTCATAGTCATGATGGGAATCCCTCTAACTGCCTGTCATGGCTCTGCAGTGATAGAATAGAGAATACAAGGAGAAATACTCTTTAATAAAGATGGGCCTGAACTAAAACCACATTAAGAACCTCAGAGCTGGGTTTGGATCTGAATTCATTGCTGAAATTCCTTTTTCTCTAGTAGGCCGAACCCAAACAACCTGAACAGGAATGCTAGAGTTCAGATCTGGATTTAGAACTCCCAGGTGTAGGAATAATCAGGTCTGTGGTGTTTGGCTCTTCTTGTTAGAGACACAATGTTTGGCTGTGGGATTTTGGTTCAGACCTGTCTAGGGGTATGTCTACACTACGGGATTAATCCGAATTTAGATAATTTGAATTTGGGAAACAGGTTGTATAAATTCGATTGTGCGCGGCCACACTAAGCACATTAATTCGGTTTTTAACCACATTAATTCGGTGGTGTGCGGCCACACTACCCCATTAATTTAAACACAGTAATTCGGTGGTGTGCGGCCACACTAACCCTAATTCGAATTAACAAAATCGATTTAGGCGCTACTCCGCTCGTCGAGGTGGAGTACAGAAATCGATTTTAAGTGCCCTTTAATTCGAATTAACTGGCTCTGTAGTGTGGACGGGTGAAGGGTTAATTCGGATTAACGCAGCTAAATCCGAATTAAAGTCGTAGTGTAGACCAGGCCTAGGATTCACTAATTAACAAATATGCTTTGCACAGAAACAAAAATAACCAATACCTGCACTCTGTCCAAATAAAAATAAAATTCACCTACAAGTGGTGCACCTTGGGAGGGAGTATCACATGATCTCTGTTCGGAGAGATTTTGAGTAATATGGCCTCTCTTGCCATTAATTCTGTATTTCAGCTTCATATGCTAAAACCTATTGAATACTTTTAAAGCTTAGAGAGTGAGAGTACAGACTCATTTATCTCCAGCATGCTCACTCCGTTGAGTTATTCCCCCCCCCTCCCCCCATGGCCAATGTCACTACTTTATTTCCTATACAATTTTTCTTTGAACCGCCCATTTTAAGATCTTTTAAAGACTAATGTTTCATGGAAAACTTTGTATTGGGAGAAAATTTTGCTTATACTCTTTTTAAAAAGGGCAAGAGGAAAAATGATTCTATAAACCTGGGAGATTTTCATAGAAACCTTAGGCTTGAATTTGGTATCATTTACATTCTGTTCACTTTATAACCTCATTCACTTCAGATGAGTTCCTTTGGCCTGAATCGGCGTATCTGAGAGCAGAAACAAGTCCAGGATCTTTCTTGCTTGAACGCTGGAAAGAACAAAAGCATATTCCCTTTTTGAGTCCTAATCTTTGGTATATGATGTTGCAATAGGTTTATATGGAGTGGAGCTTCCGGCTTTAGAGACTCTGGTGCAGAATTTGCCACTCTGTTTCCCAGTTGTTCATCATGTTTGAAGTGTCACAACCACCAGGAAGATTTCTCTTGTGCAGTGCTAATGAACAGACTTTTGCCTGGGATAGTCTTGCTAAAATCTGTCATTGAGCCTCATTCTTAGGTCTCTTTAGAATAGTCTCTCTGCTGTTTGTTGCTCATCTCAGCCCAGTCATTATTTTCTTTTCTCATTGAAGCTTAACCTAATTATTTTTTTCTGCTGCTTTCCAACCACTAGAGGTCAAGATTGTGCTACTGCACAGTACAATAAGTAGCTCCCAGGCATTTCGCATTTAACTCCATCATTCTACTTTCTTACGCAATGATGTTTAGTGCCAACTGTGATTTAAAAAAAAAAATCCTTTGATTTGAATGGTTGTATTTCTCTATTAAGAATGAGTAGATTGTGTTACATATATGTACATCATAAAAGTATGTCAGTCTTGTGATATAAAGCAGATCTTGGTGTATTTTGTGCTCAAATATAAACTAATGTAGCATGTGACTATATGGGCTTTAAAGATCCTTATCTCTCTAATATGGATAAATAACCCTATTTCTGATTGTGGCAAATTTCTGCACAACCAGGCGTTAAAAAGGAGCTGACATTAAAGAGATGTTGTCAAAATAAAAATCATACTTTAAAAATAAATTCCTTACTTGTGATATTGACACCTTAGATGTTTAAAAGGAAAAAATGTAACCCCCTAATTTACTTTCCACTATTTACATAGTTTGTTGGCTGCCTGATTTTTCTTTCAGTTTGGGCAATGGCAATAGATTAATCTTTTGGTTTCTAATCATGTTCACTTTCCTGTTTCTCACAGTATCACACTGCTGCAATGCCCGGTGTTGCAAACAGTCCAAGAGAAAGTTTACATCCATGCACTCTTTTACAAAATGCATTCATTAAAGCATATGCCTTCAGATTTGGATTTTGGAAACCTTCTGTTCTCTCCCCCCATTGCAGAAACAAAAATAATCTAAATGTCCCCTTTCCCTATTCTAATGGTTCTTGCATTAATGTAGAGTGCATATCACTCTTGCTGTCACTAGCAACTGAAACCTTGGTTCTGTAGTCCACTGTCTCCAAAGTTTCAGTGTATTGAGTTACTCAGAATAAATAAGAGTGCTCTATTTGTTTCTTACCCATTCGTGATGTGTTGCCAATGGGATTCTCACTGGTGCAGAGAAGCAGTTAAATACTTAGGTATCAGTTGAAATTAAAGCTGGCACAGGGAGTCAGTGCAGATATGAGGGGAATCTGTTTTTGAAAGGGGGAAAACCTGCACTTTAAATGGGGGGGGGAGGAAGCTTTTTGGAAAGACATTCTGGAGAGTCCAGTATATCTCGACATGTTTTTCATGTTTAGGCAATACTTGATATACTTCTACTTGTAGCAAGATATCAGTCCACATCTATAGCATCAGCTCTTCTACTGCAGGGCAGGCATTTTTTTGTGGCAGATTAAACAGGGCTTTGCAGTTGTGTAAAAGACAGTGTAACACCTATGTATAATCCCAGTTTTGAATTTCAAATTTAAACCCTCTTCCAACATACTTTGGCATTTGGGGCTAAGCAGTTTACCTGTCTCTCACAGATATTATGCTCACTAATAAAAAGAAAATCCATACCCAGTTTCAGGTTAGTAGATGTGTGCTTTTTTTGGCATAACATCGTTCCCTAGAAACAAACCTTTGGTTGTAACACTGCCTACAGATCAAGATCATAGACCCATATAGCAATTTTCCTGTGAAGGGATCTCTACTGGGTAATCCATTCCAGTCCTGAATCCTGGTTATTATCTCACTGAGAGAATTTCAGTTGAGTACCTTTACAGATCATGTAAATGAACAGTGCACAATTACATTCTCCTGGGGTACCACAAAAATGCTTTCAGGAATCTCTGGGGTCCAGATGTGGAGGGCTTTCTGTTAACATGAGTTGAATAGAGGAACATATCCAACAGTTAAGTCAGCCCTTTAATTTATCCTGTGACAGTCACCACATGGCCTGTGGTCTAATATCTCTCCATCAGTGTTATAAATAGATCAATATGGCAGCATGATGGGTTTGGAATTGTGATTTGTGAACGGTCATGATATTGTTTGCATTATTACATAATCACCTGCGGTTTTGAAATGAGTCTTCTGCTTATTTGGAATATCTAGGTTAGAAAACATGTTAAATAAATTGTCAGTTCCATCAAGTGTGTGGGTTTTTGTTTTGTTTTTTGTCTCATATTTGTAGCATTTTCTGAACGATTACATCTTTTGATCCAAACTAATAAATCACTGAATGTCATCAGTAACTTTTAAATCTGCTTTTGTTCTAGGCCCAGCAGCAAAGAAACCTGGATAATATTGTATCTCAGCACCCCAGGATAGGTGGTGGAAAGAAATATAAGAGAGATGTCTGTGCAACCTCAGATCTGGAGGTGAAAAACACTAGCCCCATGTCTGAACAGGATTCGGGGATCCTGGATGTTGAAGATGAGGATGACGATGAAGAGGTACACTTATAATATAAAAACCAGGAGATTCGATGGCTCGGGGGATTGTAAATGGGATATTTCACATCCAGTTTGCCACTCATATTTGCCCTATGTTGGTTTTTATCATGGAAGGATGTTTAGTGGACTATATGGAATGAGTAGTTGATTCTCAGTATGGTTCATAGTGAGCTATGGACCACATCCCAGTTGGCAATCCAGCGGAGAGGACAAAAATTAAATGAGAACAGAGTAAACTACCCTTTTCTGTACTAGAGATGGTTCCTCCAATCCTTTACTTATTAGGAGTCATAGTCTGATGTTTTCCATGGCCATTTAATTTGAAAGAAGGAAAAAAGTCCATTAAACAGATACTTTGGCCTTTGTGGAATTGTGCTGTGATGTATATATTGGCTGACAATGAAAACACATTTTCTGTGATCAGAGGCTTAAATAACTTGATTATAAAGATTCTGGTTCATTAAAAACTTGAGCCACAGAGTAGAATGTTCAATGTTTTGGAATCTCTTGCTGCTTTTTTCTACGTATTAGGAGCCAGATTCTCTGCTGGTGTAGCTCCATTGAAGTTTAATAGTTATTGCCAGTAGAGAATGTAAAATATATTGTGTAATATACAACCTTTCTGGCCCTTGCTCCTGGAATGCATAATCTCCTGTTGCCTCCCCACCCCTAAGTCCCTGGTTACAGATAATTTAGTGGAGGACTGTGAATGACATAGTAAGTAATAAAATTAAAAACTTTATTTACTATAAAATAGGTGGTTAAGCAAACAGGCATTACAAACTAACCATACACTGCACTGGTGCTCACATTCTGAGATGAAATGATGATCAGTCCCTAAATGAGGAGAATGGGTATAATCCTTTCTCTAAAGGACCTTGACAGTGGATGGGCATGCCTAATCGAAAATTAGCCTGCTACCCTTTTTATAATCAGTTATAATATTGCCCCTTAATTAGTTAATGTTGAATCCACCTTTTACCATATCTCTATTTCTGTTATCATAATTAAATATTTTCTTTCTCATTGGCTATTTAACATTAAACATAATCTTAATTAGTATCTGCGTAAATACCGTACCAATAGCTATTAATATAGATAGCATTTTCCAAAATATTAACACTTCAACTCAAACACTTGTATGAACCAGATAGGACCAAAACGTGTTTACAGCACGACCTGGGGTTATGCCCTAACTTATCTCCAGCTTGCTTTTGAATTGTCTCACTTCACTTTACTCATATTTTACCAGGTCTCGCTTGACTATTTGAAGCTTGCTTTTAGGAAATAATTTTTTGGGCCTACTCACATTTCTGTATAAATATAAGCAAGCATCATATCTACAGGGCAACACCTTCTACCTACTGTGCTGTAACCGTTGCATGCCAGCAGCCAGGAAGGTGAACAGCCTTAGCCCTTTCATAGCAGTGAGAAGGTAGGGTAATACACTGATCTTCAAAGCTGTGGGAAGGCCCTCTGTTTTTTTATGTTGCACCAATACTTGATCCCACAGCAAATTAGAAATTGGGCAGAAGTTAAACATAGGGAGAATGAATAGGGAAGGTGCATTTTTAGGAAATGAATACAAACCTGTAAATGTACGCATAATATTTGATTTCCCCCAACCTTTATGTTCTTGAATAGTTGTCTGCATTCCATGCTGCCGTGGAATGTCCAGCTGGATGCCGAATAAGACACCAGCGCCCTGTAGAAAATGGTTGGTACTGCTGAAGAATTTGAGACTAATGTGCCACAATGGACACAGGACCTGTGCAGCCTACAAATATCTGCACGTTGTAAATATCAAGGAGGGAGAGGAATTACTTAGGAAAGCAAAACTAGTATTCTAGTATCAGGAGACAGGGATGAAATTAAGGAAAAGGAAAACTTAGGCTGAACTTCCAAACAGTTCGATTTATTATGTAGTTGAATAGTCTCTCAGAGGAAGTGGTGGCAGCTCCATTTCTTGGCCCAATAAATGCTAGACTGGCAGAACACTAGTAAACCTACAGTAGGGAAAAGTTTTGCATTGGCTGAATGATGGATGACTGAAGAGATCTTTCATTTCCAGATTCTTAGTAAATAAGCTTTCGTTCCTGGTTTAATGATACCTTTTGGAAGGTAGTTGGTTTAAATTGGCAACAGGACTAATGTCTTTGCAGAAACAAGATTCAGAGCATACATGAGTAGTTGCTGTCCTTGGTGATGAAATCAGTAGTGAAACAGACGTGTGTCCAGAGGGAGTGCTAATAAAAATGACAGGGGCTAGGCACCTTGTCAGAAGCAAGTGAAGAAATAAAGTTTATTCAGTTTGCTTAGAGTCATCAAGCTTGAATATAAAATGCAGCTCCTGTTTGTTGTTTCCTCACTAGCTCCTTGGAGAGAGCAGTTCCTTAGGGGCAGGCAGAGGAAGTGTTTTTAACTATCTTAATCGGATTTCTTCCACTTGGGGGGAAAAAAGCTCTTTGGAAAGGAAACAATAGTTTATTAGTGCAGATACCGCTGTTTTCATCTGGAAGGGAGCACAGTGAAATGCAACCATTAAATGTTCTAGGGAATCGTACGTGAGTAAAATATTAATACCATGTTCTTCAGTGAGGTCTTAACATTCGATCCTCAGCCTGCTTGCAGCTTTGGAGACAGTCACACTTGTTAGTCATTGAAAGCCTCTCCTCTTGAAGAGCCCTCTAAGTTTTTCTTGTCTCCACACTCAACAGGCAGGCGGAAATCAGACCACCTGCTGCTGAGTTTAGGGTATTCAGGATTCCGGATTGAATTTTCCAAATTCAGGTCAAACTAATTGGCTGTTTTTAGGGCTAAAAGCCCCAAGGGTGAATAAACAATGTTGGCTTGTTTTGTATGAAGCCACCATCTCCTGATGCACTCTGGTGGGTTGTCCCCACCTTGCTTCCTTAAAAAGAAGGAACCATGGCAGACAGGCAGCCAAGGAAATAGGCTTAAAGGAAGATTTTCTCCTCTTGCACTTCTCTTCCTCCACCCTGTGGAGTGCATAGGGGGGCTCTGCATCTTCTGCACCATATCGCTTTCTCCCCAGAGGGACTGTTTTAGGCTTACCTCTCCCAAGGAAAAACAGAGCACCACTGACAAAGAAGCCAGGAGAAGTGTCAGACAGCCCTTTCCCATGCAAGGAACAGTAGGGTTTTGGGCAGATAGACTAAAGGCCTGTCCTCCCTGGCTCTATTCAAAGGACCTGGTGGCCAAAAAGAGAGGAAGGATGAGATCCCAGATCCTTTAATAGAGAAACAAATCTGGTATGTTTCCTCCCCGCCTGCCAATGGGAAGCTCAATATCAGGGCAGACTGGCTGAGCAGATGTGGGTTAGACCAGGGAGAATGGCGTCTTTATCCTAGAGTCGTAGAACTTGAGCATTTAAATTTGCCCAGGGCTGACTTCGCATCTAAGGATGATAGCAAGGTGGCAAAAAAACTTGAACTTCAGATTTTGTCCTGGTGCCTATCACCCTAGTGTCAGAGAACTTCCAGAAGAAGGAATCCAAATGCTGCATTGGTTGGCCCAAGGGATTATTCTGCTCGTACCCAGCATGCCTGGCTATGGGAATAAAAAATACAATGCTCCAAATAAATGTGTTGGCTCTCTTCAGCATTTTTGGAGCAGGCAGACTGAAAAATATATCCATGCATCTGAACATTAATAGTTCCTCAGCTGTGTCTGATCCAGAGAGCACCATTCTTTTTTTTATTTATTTATCTCCATCAATAATTATGCAAAAGCCATGTTAATTTTTTGTGAGAGAGATCTCTTACTTCCAGTCAATCAAAGTAGTTTTGCTGTCACCATAACCTCAGCTGGAACAATGTCTGAGTTTGAAGAACTCTCCGGTGAGCTCTAGTATTGCACTATTCATGCAGATAAGATGGTGCTTAGAATAGCTCCAGCCCTTATTGACATAGTCTAGGTGTTCATAGGGCAACTGAAGTACACCTAGACCACACAAGAAGATGTTGTAAATCTGCAGCATGATTCATTGTGTACTACTCCCAGCATGGGGTTAAAAGCCTCAAAGCCATCAAATCCACCTGGATTAGATGTTGCATGTCGCAGATGTACAAAGCAAGGAGTGGAGTTACCTCTCTTAGCAATCGGAGCTTTGTCTTTAAGGTTAGTGAACTCATTCTGGGCCAAGAGAATCTATCTGCTGTATGCAGAGAGATGTAGGATGGCTGCCTATTAGTTTGCTAAATATTGTAAATTATACTTAACCCTCAGTGGAGGTGGACTTTGAGGAGGTGTACTGCATAGCTATAGTGCCTGAATGGAAGGTTGTAAAACAAGTAATCAAAGTAATGGGCTCCCCCTCGAAAGTTCTCATAAAGCCGTTCCTATCAACTCCAGAGTAAAAGATCAGTGGCTCTATCCATACTTACATGACAACGTTCTATCTACAAGTAGCAGTATCCACAGATACAGCCCATTCTGGACACGCTTGGGGCCAAAACTAAAAAGCAGAGCATTCCTTCGCTATCTCCTAAGTCCATGTATGCCTGTTTCAGAGCTAAGAATTTGTTCTAAAGGTTAAGCCAGCTAGAATCCTGAGTCATTGAAGCTAACCCAAGTGGCGGTAGTCTTCACTCCCCCTCCCATACTGCAAATGTGCTGAAGACCCAAAGTTAGAGTTTGTGGGCTTCGCTGTTTGAAGAAAGGAAATGTCAGGTTAAGGATGGGATACACTTTCTTTTCGTGAACGTGGAGAAAGGAGATGAGACTGAGGTGCTGATGGCAGAGTCTAGTGCCCTTTTTATTAAAAGGGGGCTTTAGGTTCCTTTCATTGCAAGCTCAGAAATATCTCTGCTGCTCCTCAAACCTCAGAAACACAAGCTTATCTATGAGAGTAAAACAAGTGCTACAAAGAGAGATTCCACAGCTTAATCAGAGGTATGTTGGTTGTGGCATTGTTCGTTACTTCAGTGTCTAAAATACTCTTCATCTAGCTATTCAGGGGTGATTTTCAATGATAGTTCATTTCCTTTTCCTGCCAGTATGTGGCATTCCATCACAAACTATACGTGCTGAGCTTTGCTTTTGTATTGCAGTAAGTATTGTCAGAGCGGCAAGTTCGTAAGCAACATGAAGTAGTACAGACATCAGTCTCTAGGGCGTCCCTTGCCGACCTGCCATAGTTCCGGTAGGGTTTGTGTTCAAAACTGTAATGACCAGCGTCTTTTTGTGACGGGTGGTGGTGAAAGTTACGCAAGAAACTACCCAGGGAAGCTAACGACTGCTAGGAGAGCAATAAATGTATTGTTCCAGTGCAGTAGAAAACAATGCAGTTTGTTGGGCAGTGTTTTAAATTTGCCACAGTAGTTTGTTTCGAATACTTTGTACGTGCAAAAGCATACAGTGGACTGAGTCTGAAAAGAGTTCAAAAGGCTGGGTGTGTTATTTCATTCACTCTTAGGGTTGGAGCTCTGTGTGGAGGGAACAGTCTGTTCTTTTCCTCATATTAAGTCAATCTCAGGTTAACACCCTGCACAAGAGGGTAAAGGATTTGAGCACTTCCACAAGGATGTGTGTGTTTTTAAAACAGATATTCTATAGAATTTGTGCATGATTGTCTGAACATGCTTTAGATACAGTTTAAATCTTAATATAAGGTCTTGATCAGGGGTCTGAAGTTGTTCTAAAGCAATAGCTATTATATTGTGTATGTTTGGGCTTTTAAGGAAATACAGAGATTTAAAAAAAAAAAAATTGTGGACTGCTCTTGTAAGAGAACTCCTCTTGTAGATCAACTCCCCTCCTGCTTCCCCCGAACCTACACCTCTTCGCTAGCAAAACATTTAATTTGTGGACCACCAGCCATGGTTCCAAGGACCGCTAATGATCACTGCTAACAATCTGAGAAGAGTAATTGTTGTTAAATTCTAATTCATGGGAAATCATTAGTTAATTTGGTGGTTGTTGTATGTTGCGAACAGGTGATGTGGTCCCCCCCCCCCATTACTACTGTTGATTTATTACTGGAGCCCCATTGTGCTGAGTGCTGTACAAACACATAGCAAGAGGAAGATCTTGCCTGAGGAGTTTATGCTCTCTAGTCTGGTCTACACTTAAAACTTTGGTCAACATAGCTACGGTACTCGGGGATGAAAAATCCACCGCTATGCTGACGTGGCTAGGCCGGTAGAAGAAAGCTTCTTTTGATCTAGTACCATCGTTCGGGGAGGTGGAGTTACTACAGTGATGGGTCAACCCCTTCTGTCACAGTAGTGTGCATCCACACGCTGGGGTTACAATGGCATAGCTCTGAACCTGTAGCTCTGCTGCTGTAACCCCTGTAATGTAAACAAGCCCTATGTCTACACTTGAAATCTAGTTAAGACCAGACACAACACTTAGAGATAAGAAATGGAGATGATGGGGCGGGAGGGTAAGATTTAGTTGGGATTAGGTCCTGCTTTGAGCAGGGGGTTGGACTAGATGACCTCCTGAGGTCCCTTCCAACCCTGATATTCTATGATTCTATGAGTGATAGGAGCACACGTTTACGTCGCTCCTTGTGTGTGTACAATTGGTACATTTAGTTTTGGTTTTAAAAGATCGGCGCAAGCTATTGATGTCAGTAATCCCGCTCGACTGCCCGTTGCCTGTGATTGTACGCTACTGACCTGAGTAGATCCATAGTGTGAAGCTTGTGGATGCTGAACCTCACATTCATGCACAGTTTTCTATGGTCTCTTACTTTCTGCCTCACCCTTGTGTGCTTTCTCAGCCCTGTGGCAGGCTCAGTAAGCAGTTTTTTTAAAATGGCTCAGTTTGTCCTTTAAGTGAATTAAGTGTTGATGCCAAATTAGCAGTCCTGGAGAAGTACCTTCCCGCAGCACAGGTGCAGCACAGATCGAGTCAGTGACAGCTTCTGCCAACATGCCTCAACCCTTATCTAGGACCACCAGCTCATTTAGCAACCATGGTCGGTCACATCTTTTGCCTCTCTGCTGAGATGACTAACAAAGGGTACGAATACGGTATGTGTTTTTTAGAGAGGTAGATGCTCGGAGTGGTGGGGGCAGCATAAGTTGAATTTTGCTGCTTTGATCCACTCGTACCTGCTTTAAAAACCCAAACATTGAACAGTACTTACTAGCTATTGAAATTCATTATAACTGAAATCCTCGGTATCCAGTCTATAGTGTGTCTATATATTCCCACACACTATGTACTTTATTTGTAGCCAGGTGCTTTGTACATTATATGTTGATCCTCTTGTTTTCCATTTCATGTTTTTGTAGGTGCCTGGTGCCCAGGATTTGGTGGATTTCTCGCCCGTGTACCGATGCTTGCACATCTATTCTGTACTGGTAAGTAGGTCTGCGATGGTGTTTTCATTGCAGTTTGTACAAATGGCACTGAAGTTTGCCCTGATTTTGAATGGCAAGATTAGGTGCAGCTCCTTATGTCTATGTAGACCCTCTTGGAAAGAAGCTGTTGCGTAACTAGTATTAGTGTGTGCTTATGTTCACCTCAAGAGAAAATGCAGTATCTAGTCAAATTAGAACCTCAGCAGCATGTGACAAAGGGAAGCAAGGGCAACATTGGGAGCCCACAGTAGAGGAAGGGCTTTGAGTAAAAACCAAACAGCTATTTTATATTAGCACACTGCAAAGATATATAAACCATTTTCTTCAGCCACGACAGCTTTGGGGTTTATTAGGAGCCAAATACATTTTTCTAGCTTAAATATATTTCCCTAAAATAATTCTTCCTTAATCAAAATAACTGTTCTATCAGTGCAAAGTAATGTATTGCGTAATCAAGAAAGACAGCAGTTTTAGGTGGTTGTTGTTGTTTATTGCACTTCCCTTCTTTTGAAGACTGGAGAATTTCCTATCATTAAAATCATATGGTATGTAACTAAATCCACAGTTTTACTGTCTTGGCTCCAGCTTTCTAGAAGTCAGACTTCTTCAGACTGCCCTGAAAAACATCAAGATATGTTTACATGGCTGTGTAAGTGATAAGACCATTTTCTGCTGCATTTTAGTCAGTTCTTGATCACTGTTGTATATTAAGAGAAAAATAATCGTGTGACCCTGATCATCAGTTATACACAATCGTGGAAACCTTCCCACAATAGCAAAAATGATACCCACCACATTGGCACGCCTACTTACCGAAACATTTCCCTCCCCCCCAAAAAATATACAAAGATAAAAACTTGTAACTAACAAACCAATCAACCAGCCAACAAAACCAAGAGGTTTTTATTCTGAAAAGGGAGACGAGCCAGAGACTTTGTGACGTCCACTAGGGAATTTGCTATCATCTTTACTTGGAAGGCACTGAGATACTGAGGGGATGTTTGGCAGTATAAAACCCCAAGATAGATAGATCATCAGCAAATTGAGATCCAGTTAATTTTCTGTCCACATTTGAGAAGATGATGGATCTAGAATTCCAGATACTTGCTTTGTTTAGAAAGGTGGGTCCACTTAAAATCCAATAAAATTCACCTCTAGTTTCAGTAGGTTGCTAGACAAAATGTGGTTTTCCAGGCCTTCCAGTATATTGATAAAAAGTTACTCCCTTTAATATGAGCGGAGAAAATGACCTTCATGGGTGACACTTCAGCCTTTACTCCCTTGTGCCAGATACTGCAGGAGTCTAAAAATTATGAGTAATTCATCTGAGCCTTCCAAACTGGAAATCCACAGACCCAAAGGGTCCCTATTAGTCTGCAGCTGTTCTTTAATGACAGTAACCCACAGTTGGTGAAGAAAGCGCTTCAGCTTTCTCGGCCACAGGAGAACCCTCTAAAGCCAAGCCAGTACATAAGAAGAGTGCATGGTTTCTGCATGTAATCCAGCAGCTTTGCCTCCCTTGGTGCTCTGGGGCCTGAGCTAAGAGAGTTGTTTCGTTTATGGTAGACCTAAAGCCAGTGCGCCGCTCTCTTTCTCCCCCCCCCCCCTCCGCCCCCCAGCAATACCTACAAATGAATTTGCTAAAGGAAAGGAATCATCATAAAAATGTGTATATTACCTTTTTATGTCTTCATCTGTTACTAATTATATAGCTTCGGCTACAACGCCATGATACTTGATTGGCATTAAAGAGTTAACCTACCCAGAATGTGTTATATTTTGAGTGTACTCTGTCTTGGACAAAGACAAAATACTAGATGTTGGAAGCCTGCTTCAGGGAGTGTGCTAGGAGAAACTTACAATGGTCTGAACCCCTTGGTAGATTTCAAAGTGTCATTTGATTCGGAAAAACTTCAGTTGTACATAGGTGTATATGAAAAAAAAAAAAAAAGTTATGGAGATATCCTATCCCCTAGAACTGGAAGAGACCTTGAAAGGTCATCGAGTTCAGCCCCCTGCCTTCACTAGCAGGACCAAGTACTGATTTTGCCCCAGATCCCTAAGTGGCCCCCTCCAAGGATGAACTTACAACCCTGGGTTTAGCAGGCCAATGCTCAAACCACTGAGCTATCCCTCCCCCCGTTATTTAAATATTTAAATTAAATATTTAATTTAAAGCAAAATCAGAGGCTCTGTTGTCATAGCTTTGCATATAGTTGTTTAATAGAAGGGTGTATATATAATGCTATTACGTAAAGGGTGAAAACAGGACATTCGTTTTTTTGCATCAGTGGATGTTCAGAGTATTGTAGTTTGTAGTACATATTTATTTCTAGACTGACATTATATTTTGGTTTACGTAATGGCGCTTTTACTGTTCACCCTTTGTCATATATAGAACGTGGCTGTGTATTTCCCCTATTGTATGCTAGAGAAACAGATTCCAGGCTAATGCTCCACGCTGCTGTTTGATTGCTTTCTGCTGCAGCTGGAAGTAAACCATTAGCCAGCCAATATGCTCTTGGAGAGAGTGCACCTGGAGCCTCTCTGATGTGCTCAAAACGTAACTTGAGATGGGAAAAGTCATGTTAGATGAAGTCCATCCCTCTTTTGGGGGTAGAATATAGTCCCCCAATGGATACATGTCTGAGTGATTAAATTATTATTCCTGCCTGCCTCACGTAGGTGCGGAGACTCAATGTTTGTAAAGCACTCTGAGATACTAAAATTGTTAGGTCAAATATTAATACTTAGCACTCATATAGCATTTTCCATCTTCAAAATGCATTGTAAACATTAACCCGCCCCACATCCCTGTGGAATAGGTAGGTAGGTAGGTGTTATTCCCAATTGACAGATGGAAAAAACTGAGGTCACAGAAGGTGTTGGTGACAGTGCTGGGGTTAGAATTTAGGAGGTCTTCTCCCCAGTCCTCTGCTGAGCCCATTAGACCAAACCCCTACAATACAGAATCTCAGCCAAAAGGCCTAGAAGAAGCAAGAAAGAGAGAAACTGTAAGGCAGAAGTTTCAAGAAGACAAGCATGTGAAGCAAAAGCAGAGAAATAAGGCAAGCAACCATAAAGGAAAATTACCCTTTTCCTGACCTGGGGTTGAGTCCTGAACTGGTTTTCTAGGCCCAGCTAGTGTTGAACAATATCAAAGATTGGACAAGCCCCAAGGGAAATGGTCACATCAGTGTCAGACGGAAGGCTCATAATATAATAGTTACCAAAACCTCCTAATATTTGTCATTTACAATAGTGTTATCTAAGTGCTTGGCCTGCAGTTACAAAGGCCTACTTTGAATAAACATTGCAATATTTATTATTTTTAGTGAAATCGACCTTCCAGTCACCTCAGTTTTATGGCTGTGCTGCTTATAAATTCCCAAAGGATTATTTGAAAAATCCTACTCATATCTGCCAGCCTTATCAGCAGGGCAGGAGTTCACATATTGTAACATGAGGTCAGCTTTCGGTCATGGTCTTGCAGACGGGGCCAGGCACCTGTAAATCCTTCCTTCAGCCACTAAAGCGAAGTACAATATCAAACAGGCAGTGAGACTTTTCCAGGAAGCGCTGAACTTTTGCAGGAAGGGCAGAGGAGAGGGAAAGAAAGTGAACAAGGGTCAGGCTGTGGTTAATTGAGAATTGGTCCTTGACTTGGTAACAGAGCTAGGGGAGACAGACTCTGATAGGGATGCTTTATGGGACTATTTGTCAGCAGTCCTTTACTCTGAGAAATCAGCCGACTAATAATGGCGGGGGTGGGGGGCGGGGGAGATAGATGCCACTTTAAATATTTACAATCAAAATAAAAAATGACAAATGCACATAAAAACTGTGTGTATGTGGTGTACCCCTCTCCTCTTTTAACGGCTTATAGTGTATGTTGTTTGGGACAGGGACACAGACATGTTCTTCTAATATGCTTGTACAGTGCCTAGCATAATGGGGCCCTAATTCTGCTTGGTGTAGTAGGATGAGGCCCTGAAACAAAAACCTTTATCAGAGGCCCAGTATGAGGCCTGAGGCCTGAACTAAAGAAATGGTCAAGACTTTGCTAACATAAAGCAAAGTTAAGCTGTGAGCCAGAGGCAGGCCCTGCTCACAGAAGCTGGCAAGGAAAGGGCTGATGCTGCAAAAAGATACATACCTAAAAGGTACTGAACACTAGATATCAGAACATTCGGATACTTGCACATTCCACACACAACCAGGAACAAGATGACCCATCCCAATGACAGGGTCAAAAGGGGAAATATGATGAATAGAGTTGTTTTGTTCGAACCAACATGTACAAGGTGAGAGGCGGTACCTTACTACGTAGAGGGGTTGTACCTTGCTGCGTAGAGGGGTTGCACCTCAATACGTCAGGAGTGATGTGTAACTTGTTTGTATCTGTGTATAAGAATGCATCCCTGAGTAGATGTCTTTGTCCAGCCTAGGGGGCAGTGGAAAGTCCCGCCACTGACTGAGCTGAGTCCATTGCCAGGGGGCACATATGTTCGTTTGACAATAAACCTGGCCGGGTGCCTTCGTACCTTTCTAGAGTCTGTGGTCATTGGGGGTTCTCTCGGGCTCTGCCGTGTCAGCGATCTGCGCAGAGCTGGGGCAGCACACAGAGGGAACACACGCACGCAGCCGATTGATATCAACATTGAACAGAGCAGAGCACCACACCGGGAGTGTCTGACAACACTTGGGATCTCTGGATACCACAGACATTAATATTTGAAATCCTGGAATTGCATGCAAAAAATGAACTAGAGAGTTGGGAGAACAAATGCATCATCACTGAGACACAGAGGCTAAGCAACTTGCCTTAGGTAGCACAGGGAGTCAGGGAGAGAGCCTAGAACAAAACTCTGCCTCTCCTCTGTTCTAACCGATGGACCAAAGTTAACTCCCAGTCAGATACACACAAATAACAGAACATCCCCACTTTCTGTTTAGCAGCAATATGTGTAAAGACATTTACTTACAATTAGTCTGTAAAT